AATGGCACTGAAAGAATAAAGTATTTTTATTTTTATTTTAAGCCCTAAGGTAAGCGTCCTTTAAACATTTCACAATACAGATAAGTCCTCAAGTTACAACAGTTCATTTAGGGACTGTTCATGAAAAAAGTGACTTATGGTCAGTTTTCACACTGACAATCATTGTAGCATCCCCATGGTTGTGTGAACAAAATTCAGATGCTTGGCAACTGGCCTGTATTTATGACAATTGCAGTGTCTTGGGTGATCACCTTTTGCGACCTTTTGACAAGCAAAGTCAATGGGGAAGCCAGATGCACTTAAGAACCTTGTTAACTAATTTAACAACTGCAGTGATTCACTTAACTATAGCAAAAAAAAGTTGTAAAATGGGGCACAATTCACTGAACAATGGTCTCGCTTAGCAACATAAATTCTGGGCTCAATTGTAGTCCTAAATAGAGGATTACCTAGTAATAGTTTTCACAGGTTTTAAAATCCAATACATTGGTATTCTATAGCTTCAGTTCTAACTATCTAACAAGATATGACATACATGCACAAGTTTTACAGTAATCATAATCCCAATTTTAATGAGGGCTTAAGCAGCCACTCCCAGTATAACGTAGAAGATGCTGAATACTTAGTGAAAGACACTCCTCTACCTTAATAGTTGTGTCAAGTTTCTGCTAGTTATAGCAGCATAAGTAGTGCAAGAGTACACATGACTCCTATTGTGCAAAGTGCCAACTGAAGTAACAAGTTATTCTACTGTTAATATTTAAACTGAAAAAGGAGAGTGAAGTAATTTCTGGAAAAGCAAGTTTATAGCAGCTGTCAGAGGTATGTTTCTACAAGGAGACTCCATCTGAGCTCAGCAGAGTTCCCCAGCTTCAAAACATATGGGTTACATATAGAAAGAGCCAGCATTCCTTCTTCTATAACTTCTCCTTGAAGCCTCAAGTCTATTTATACAGACACAGCATCTCTAAAGTTCTGCTCCAGGTCTCTAATTCAAGGTCACGTTTTGCTCAAAACAACATAGTTTTATACCCTGGAGACCCAACTGAAAAGAGAACCAACTAATATCCTTAGCTTGAATTCAGACAGAACTTCAATTCATCAAACAGGGTAACAATTGTTAAAGGGGTATGGCTGAGCTCCCCACAGACAAGTCCTATTTTCCTTGTAAACTCATCACTTCTAGGCTACTACTCAGCTTTTCAGTAGCAGCAAGAGTCTGCTACTTCCTCAAAAAGCCATTTTCCCCACTCTTCTTTCCAACATTGGGAGGTGGGGCAGAAACAGTGAGAGAAGAGGAGATGGGTTCTTTGGAAATCAGTCAGCCTAAGGTAAAGGTTCTCCTTGCTCATCTCCGTTTCGAAGCCGAAGAGCCAGCGCTGTCTGAAGACGTCTCCGTGGTCATGTGGCCAGCATGACTAAACGCCTCAGGTGCACAGAACGCTGTTACCTTCCACCAAAGGTGGTACCTATTTTTCTTCTTGGATTTTTACATGTTTTCGAACTGCTAGGTTGCAGAAGCTGGGACAAGTAACAGGAGCCTACTCCGTCACACAATACTAGGGATTCGAACCACTGAACTGCCGACCTTCTATCGAGCCACCACATCCCACATCAGTCATCCTGTACCCACACAATAACCTCATGGTAGCTTTACCACAGGTATGCTAGCAGTAGACTCCTATGACTCAGGCACCCACACACCACCTTAACCACTGCAATTGCAGGAAGAATGTCCAAAAGTTGTCTGGCACTCTTCCAGAAGATCTTTGCACATATATCAAGGATGCCTCCCAGATTCTCCAGCTTTGCAGCACCTAAGCTGCAAGTAAGCGGATGGCCGTACCTCAGGTGCACCGTCTTGGTATAGCTGCCAGGGCTCCTTTCAGTGCAGAGGACATTCATGACATGTGTCTACTTTAGCACACCTAGACTAATATATCAAATGTCCTTCAAACACTTTTAAAAAATCCTCAGTTTCCCTTTTACTCTCCCTTCTTGTCAAGAACCCAAGAGTAGCAGGAAAAGGAGACAGAAGTATGGAAGAATGGCTCTTTGCTATTATTTTTCCAATCTTAAAAGAATGAGCTCGCCCTGGAATCAGAATTGAGAGCAGAACATTTAGATGTTCTGCTACCAGCTACTGGCACCCAAGGAGACATTCCTCCTACCCTGCCTTGCCCCTCCCTCTGCTTCTGGTGCTGGCAGAAACCCTGCTCAGCTTCATTGTAGAGGCAGAGTAGAGGTTGCCAGGGTTCTTAGTTTCTTTTCTTTAAACCAGCAGTTTTCTGCCAATTCCTGCATAAGATAACAGCACTTTAGCGTTGCCATGTGGAAAAGATACCCGGCTATAGATTTATTGGGTCTGCAAGAATTTTACTTTTGCTTTAGGCTGAGCCCAGAACATTAAAAGACATAGCTATGATAAACAGGAAATCCAAATACATTTCATTTATGTCGCAAGAATTATTAAGCCTGCCGTCTGATTCGTCTAACCTTGAAATTCAGGGTTACTGTAAGACTAGTTCTTCCTTATACAGATCTAGGAGAGTCACATGCTAATTCCTCATAGTGGGGAGGGGGGGCAAAAATGGCAATCATGAACTGGTGGTACATTTTAAAGCAAGGAATGGAGTACATATGTCCTCCAAATATTGCTTGAAAGCAAGGAATGGAGTACATATGTCCTCCAAATATTGCAACACAGCCTTTACTACCATGGTCAATATCCTCAGTGGGACTCCAGTGTCTGTAGAATCACAGATTTCCTACCCATTCTCAGTGAACAAAACAGGTCAGTTTCCAGTTCTCGGTTGTCTAACAGAAATGTTTAAAACCTCCATATTCCCTTTAGGATGTTCTACAAGAGAAACTGGTGTGGTGAAAAGATTTGCTAGCTACATATCAGTACTCATCATAAATTCCTGAGATAAACATCTGCTCAGAGGCACCTTTTCCCTTAATTCTTTACATGTGTCTTCCTGTACCTTTATTTTCCACTTGGCTCCAATTGGAGGAGTTTAGGGATTTAGAAAAGAAACTAAATCAGTCCCATAAGCTTGAAGTCTGTTCACCTTTGGCCTAATATTTGAAGTTTCATATTGAATTAACTGCCTAGCTCTCTGATACAATGGGACAAAGTTCACCTAAATACCGCAGATAGTAGCATATTTTGAAATAGAAAATGGAAAAAATAGATCTTATTGTAAACTACCAGGAGATCTTGGTAACTAATAGGATAATTGTAATTAATGTTAAAGAGCATTAATTGGTGTAGTGTTTAAAGGTCTGAGGCTAAACACCTAAATTCCACCTTAGGCAGAAAGCATGTTGAGTAACTTTGGGCCAGCCATTTTCTCTCAACCCCAGGAAGGCAGCAATAGCAAACCACTTTCAAAACTCTTGCCAAGAAATCTTCCTGGATTTGTTTAGATAGTTGCCAGGAACTGAAAACTGACTCAAAAATACCAAAAAGCCAATTATAAATGGTTACCATTAAATCTGAAGTCACATAAATTAATAGCCCACATTCTGATTTAACCATCCTCTCTTAAGACATATCCTGGTACACAAACACTAAGCACTTATACTTAGTTTATCAACCCCAATGGCTAACTCCTCACATCACCCAAAGCCAAAACCAATCAAGCCACTTTTGGGTTTGGCATTACACAGGATGTGTTTGCTTTCAGTTAAAAGAAATACAGGTATAGGCACTTTAGAACCCTTGCTAAAAAATAACACTGCACCATATTGCAAATAGAAAGATTTGCACCACACACCATGATTTTAAGACATATTTTTCAGGGTAAAAAAAAAATAAGCATGTTGAGGTGTTTTGACCATTTACATCCACATATATCCCTGTCCAATTATACAATTTACTTGTGATTTTGGACAACTCACTCTTAACCAAGCTACCTCACAGGGTGCTGATGTTGAAAGGAAAAACCATGTGTGTTCATTTAACATTTCTCAGAGAAATACAAACATCATAAATAGATTACCATTACAACACTTTGTTTTGTTTTTGAACTGATACAAAGAGGATTTGACGCCTGCTTTTCTCCCTGAAGTTTTGAGACTGGGCTTTTTACACTGCAAACCCCTTTACATTTTCAACCCAGAAGCCCCAAATCCTGCAGCCCAAAGGAAAGGGCTCTACCTGCTGGGAAGGAGGCACCTCAGGAAATCCTGTCTGCCAAGCTTACAGCCACATCTGCCCTTCCTCAGGATCTGCTCTGACCCCTCTTAGAGCTAGCCTGAAATAGTCTCTGCAATGGCAAAGCCGGATTTGGGGAAGAGATGGGGGGAGGGGGGCAGAGAGAAAGGAGCGGATATCCCAAACTCAAGGCGCCTTTCCTTCTCGGCTAGAAACTCCTTGTATACTCTTGCTTGAGCGGCTTTGTTACTGTTAAGAAAGAAAACGGTATCCTGGCTATCTTATCGCCCACAGCGGCGCCTTATTGAGCCGCTTCAAAGCCAGGCTGGCGGATAGAACAAGCACCCGGCAGGTATCCGCCCGCGACTGGCGGGCTTGGCTTCCCAAACCTACGGCCCCACCCAGTTCCTCCTGCTCCCGCAGGCACACCGACACCTCCGGGAAAAGGCTTGGCAGCTGGCGGGACAAAAGTCAAGCCACACCGCCTCGTCCCCTCAAGTTTTGAAAGAGTCCCAGAGGGTCTTCTGAGCTTTCACGCCAATCCAACCCAGCCGCCTCTCTTAACGCGGCTGCAAATATTAGGAAGGAGGGGAGGGTTGTCTCGGGCGGGCAACGCCAAGCTAGTCAGCGGAAAATTAGGGCTTCTGGAAGGTCTGTTGTGAGCTTGGATTGTAAAACACCTAAAAGCAGGAAAGGAAGCCTCTTGCTTCCCTCTGGCCAAGTGCCACACACGCCTGGGAAGCAAGGCTTCACCACCACCACCACCCCCGCCCGCCCCGTCCCGGCTCCAGCTCTCTTTGCCCAGCCCCGAAGAGCGCGGCGAGCGCGCCCAGCTCACCGATGGAGACCAGCTTGATGTTCTCCTTCTCCAGGAACTCGAGCGCCACCGAGACGTTCTCCAGCTGCATCTGTCGGAAAGTGGGTCTCTGGTGGTACTTGCGGTACATGCGCTTCTGGCTGAGCACCTCCAGCAGGGCGATGAGGCGCAGCCCATCGCTGAGGTCGAACTGCAGGTTGCCGATGCGCTTGTTCACGCAGCGGAGGTGCTCGTTGCACCAACGGGTGAAGGTGTTTTGCTGGATCCGCTTCCAGGGCGCGTCGTCCGCCAAGTCCTTCTCCGTCGCGGGCATGTTCGCGGAGTCCGCCTCGAGGTCGCTACGGCCCTTAGGATACGGGTGCTCCTGCCACCGGGGGTGCGGGCCCTGACTGTGCTCACCGATACCGCTCCCACCTCCGCCGCCGCTGCAGTCACTGCGAACCGCCTGGCCCCGCGCCTGCGTGCTCATGCCGTGGCCGCCCCGCCTTCTCTTGTCTGGGCTGTAACGAGCGGGCAGACCGACCAACCAACCAACCAACCAACCAACCCCGCCAGTCCAGGCCGGTGTCTCTCTCTCTCTTGCTCGCTCCCTCCCCTGCCAAGCGCAGGCGGTGAAGCTGCAGGGGGAGAGAGAACCCCGCCGTCAGCTTAGCAACGCCAGCCGAACTGAGAGCCGCTCTCTGGCGCTCCAGACCCACGTGCCGGCCTTACAAAAGGAGTAGCGAGGGCGTCTTTTTTGGCGAGACCTTAAATACCCCTCTCCGATTAACGGATTGGATCCCGGCCAAGGAAGGGGCGGGGCCTGCGAAGAGGACAATCGTGGCGGCGCCCCTTCAGAGGCGCCGCCGCACTAAGCGTGGGGCAACGCGTTGGAATTCCTGCGTTGTTTACTCCAGAGGCAAACAAATGTTTGTGACAGTCCCCCCCCCCCCCCGGCCCGGTTGTGGGAATGTAAATTAGCCAGGCCGGCAGAGGTTAGGATTGATGGGAGCTGCAGTCCTGCAGGAAATACCATTCTTCGCCTTTGGGGAGATTAAATACAAGGAAAGGCATTGGTATTTATAATCCTCTGCGACCCAATTATTAGTGAACTGTTTAGCCTGTATAAACTCCTATAGGTAAAGGTTCCTCTTGCATTTATGTGCTAGTCGTTCCCGACTCTAGGGGGCGGTGCTCATTTCTGTTTCAAAGCCAAAGAGCCAGTGCTGTCTGAAGATACCTGGTGGTCATGTGGCCAGCATGACTAAATAGCAATAGCAATAGCAATAGCAGTTAGACTTATATACCACTTCATAGGGCTTTCAGCCCTCTCTAAGCGGTTTACAGAGTCAGCATATTGCCCCCAACAACAATCCGGGTCCTCATTTTACCCACCTCGGAAGGATGGAAGGCTGAGTCAACCCTGAGCCGGTGAGATTTGAACAGCCGAACTGCAGAACTGCAGTCAGCTGAAGTAGCCTGCAGTGCTGCATTTAACCACTGCACCACCTCGGCTCTAAACACCAAAGGCGCACAGAACACTAAGGTGGTTCCTATTTTTCTACTTGCATTTTTACATGCTTTCGAACTGCTAGGTTGGCAGAAGCTGGGACAAGTAACGGGAGCTCACTCCGTTATGCGGCACTAGGGATTTGAACCACCAAACTGTCCACCTTTCTGATCAACAACCTCAACATCTTAGCCACCGGGTCCCTTTATAAACTATAGAGCTCCCATATTTGGGAACCAACCCTCCCCCCCCCGCCCCGCCCCGCAACTCTTAGACTCCAAAGAAAAATAGAATATTCTTAAGGAACATCTGGTTGTTTAGCTTGGAGAAACAGCCCCAGGTATGTTTTACCTGGAGGAATTATGGGATATATGACGAGTGGTTACATATCTTTATTTCATGAAATATATTTTGATTTTTACAAGTGTCATAAAAGAGTATTGATTTGTGTATCAAACTAAAGATAGCAAGTTCTCAGAATACAGTAGAAGAAGTTTTTACCAGAGGTAGTTTATTCTAGGGGTAAGGAGGGGGTGTCATTTGTTGAGATCTCCCATCCTGTACCAGTTATTAAATCTGCAGGCCAGAAATGCTGCTTCTGATTTGGTGCTTGAGGTTTTCTTTTTCTATTGTTTCTCCAAGCTAAACAACAACAGAAAGAAAATACAGTAGTTGCATGCCAGATTCTGCTGGATGGTGCTTTTGTTTCTAATAAAAAGCATAGTAGATCACTCAAGCATAAAGCCTGTTCAGTTCTAGTATAGGACTGATATTCTAACTCAGAGGTCACAAAAAGCTTTCAACATGCTTCTCTTCCTTAGGAAAAATGCATTTATTTAATACAATCTTACCTTGTAAGAAGAGCTCAGGGATTCTCAAAAGCTTGCTATTTTATTTACCTTTTTTAAAAAAAAAGTCTTAAAAATTAGTATCTTGATATGGATTTTTTCCCCCTGACTAGTACAGATTCTTTGCTTTTTGTAATGCTAGTGAGAAAATTCACAGGGTGATCAAAAATATTTACATGGCAGGTCAAAATTGTAGATGGACAAAATTCCCAGTACAAGACCAGCATAATACAAGGAAGACATGACATATTTTCAGCAGATTGAGGTAGCTATCATTTTCTAGATTTTGAAAATACATAGTATACTAGACAATAAAACAGGCATATGAGGAATAATTAAACATTTTTCATTCTTAAAAGTTGTCACAATGATAATAGTATATCTTTTATGCTATTTTAAATGGCATTCCTGCTTTTAAAAAGCAAATCCATTGGGTTAACACAACCTATTTATTGGCGAAAGAAAATATAGAGCAAAAACTAATCTTGCTGAAAATATGAAAGATTAAATTACGGAACAGTTGAAAGTGTTTTAATGTATCATCAAAAAGAAAATACTGTTTTGGTTTGGGCGTACTTCTGTCTGGAAGTTTTTTCAAAGCTGAAGTGGTCTGCTAGGAAAACACTTTACTGAACTTGTATATTTTATCTACCGTAGTTCCTTTTATTACACAATTTGTTTTGCATGATGATTGTCTAGTCTTGATTTTAGTGATTACTGTAGTCACTGTGACCAATGTAGAAGCCAATGTAAATGTTGCTAAATTGATTTTTTTTTAAGTGGGACCTGTATATTCATGAATTCTACCTGTTCTTAGAGTGAGTCTAATAATCATCCATGGGAGAGCCCCAAAATGTGCTGGTTTCACCTAATTGGTAGATTCTGGTTCCTCTTAAATTTAACTTTCCATGACACAGCCAGTCTGTGGTCCCTTTTTTATATTAAATAGGAATATGCTTTTTCTGCTGAATTGGCTAAGATATTCGGGCCTGTTAAGCTACTTAATTCTACTCCTTAGTCTTGTCTTTGAGCAAGATTGCTTTCCATTTGAGTCTACGGATGAGAATGACTAGAGTCTACTGAATCTTGCACTCAAATTCTCATTCTTTCCAAGTTTCCTTTATGATGCTGAGTTAGTAGTCCCTTGCTCTATTTTTCCCAAGGCAGTTTCCTTAAGAATTGTCTGCAGTGTAGCTGGCCTATGCCCAAGCCAGATGCACACAACAGATTGTGTGATCAAATGGCGTTTGCAACCAACAGACTGCTGTCTTTCCACTCTAATGTAATGTTGAGTCCTTTGTATTAAAATGAGGGAAAGGGAAATAGATTCCAGCAGCCACTGTCTGAGGTGTTTTTCTGGTATGATCTTGGAAGCCTGACCTTGAGATTTAAGGGACTATGTCATACTTGGATTATTCCTTTTCCTGTCAACAGGCTGGTTAGAAAAGGATTTTGCATTTCCTAGCCAATCCCTAAAATGCGGAAAGAGCAAAGTCTGCGAGGTGCCCTTTGAGTTGATGCCAAATCTAAGATGCTTTGGAGATGAAGAATTGTGGGGTTAAGCAACGGGAGCTACACTGTGTTTCAGGCTGCAGGAAGAGCCACCTTCTTTTAAGGATTGAGTTTATTTTCAGAAGGCATCTTTGTAGCTAGAGAAATGAGGATTGGCTATTGCCAGTACGATTTTGGGTTTCTGTGCTTCTTTATTATTCCAAATAAACATCTACGAGCATCATGGGACATAGAATCAAAATAGCAAAATGTGATTTTTAAAAAGAAATGAAATGAAACAGAGAAAGCAGTAGGTTTGCAAAAGAGGCCTTCTATAATTATGCTTATCCATTCAGCAGTAAGCAAAACTTTCATATAATTACTCACAAGGTCAACAGAAACTATTCTTGGGAAAGAAGGAATAGATTTACAGTAGGTCATGGACAGTCTTTCCTAAGTTATTTATACAGTACTTCAATAAGAGTAGTTGGAAGTGATGCCAGTATACACTGTATTTCATAATACCTTACAAAACATTTGTTTTCTGAATCTTGATGTTACTATGCCCAGAATAAACACCTTGTTAGATGTAGTGAGGGCTAGCAGACCTGGGCTGCAAAGATCTGGAAAAGATTTGGCTGTAGAGATATGACAAGGAGAAGATAGAGCAAACTCTTTCCTGTCTTGTAATATTCATCCAGATTTTTGCATCCCAAATCTGGTGGCCCTCTCTTTGTCAGTGACTATATTTAAACTGTATTTCTGCTGTGCTTTTTTCAGGTTTGGTGAACAAAATAGCCTTTTTAAATATGAAAAGTTTATTACAATGCTAGCTTATTTGTTGGATAAGTGAGACATCTGTGAAAAATATCTAGACAGCTATTTGCCAGCTGAAGCTCATGGTTGTTAGCATCCCTTCCATACTTCCTTTCCAGTTGTTCTTCCTATGGAGAAAAACATTGATGCCAAGGGGAATATTTGCTGTTAATTATTGACATTATGAAATATTAATATTGGTATAAGAAATGAAACTAGTAAACAAATGCAAATATATTTATTTAATAATATGTTTAGTGGGGTTTAAAATACCTTAAAGGAAATGTGTCTCAGCAGATACTGCTTCAGTTCTGGAATAGCTGAAATTGGTAAGTCATGGCAACTATTTTTGATTTGATCCTTTATTTACTAACTCATCCATAGGCAACCATGATGAAGACCTTGAGTCCTAGTCCTGCCTTGGCATAAAGCCAGCTGTGTGCCCTTGGCCACTCTCTTTCTCTCAGCCCTAAGAAGGAGGCAAGGGCAAACCACTTCTGAAAATTTTGCCAAAACACTGCAGGGATTAGTCCAGGCAATTGCCAGGAATCAACTATCACTATAACAGAGGTGGGTTGTTGCCAGTTCGCCCCGGATCGGGCAAACTGGTAGTAGCGGTGGTAGTAGCGCTCCACCCACCCGGACGCTTCTGCATGTGTGCACGAGTGAACCAGCAGTAAAAATAAAGAAACCCACCACTGGACTAGAAGTTAGAAAATAATCCAAAATGGTAGGGTACTAGCCTATAATCAACATAGTTATAAACCATGGTTTATGAACTATAATGACTGAAGTCACCCCATGAGATGTTTAATTAAAAGCAAACAAATTATATTTTGCCTTTGTATGATCTGTAAACACTGTCATTAAATCCAATATCAATTTGGATTTAAAGCTGCTTTGTGTCATTTTTTAATCTTTCATATTTTTCACATTAT